CCATTTGGCATATATATGTTTATATAAATTTATGCTTTACCTTGATAAAAGTTTGCAAGTAACAGTGACAGCCACTCAACTTGAAACAGTTGTTACCATCATACAACCATTCTTAAACCTAAAATGTTTATCTACTTTCTCTACGAATACCTCAAAAAATATATTAATGTGGTTTAGTCATGTTCATCGATCATTTACTCATCAGCTTACGCATTCAAATGGTGTGCGCCTTAACACTAACTTAAATGGGTTGTTGTTCTTTTCCCCAAAGTCACATCAATTGTTCACTTATCCGTATAAGACAAAGCGATGTGTGACACTTCTTTGATGCATTGTAGTCGGTCTGCTGAGTTTGGTTTTTTTTTTTCTTTTGTCAATACATAAAATATATCTACTTTCCAAGGACTGATTCACCGGCTTTCACGAATTAATCATATCTAGACTGATTGTTTTGCGGAATAGTGGTATGGAAATGAATTCAGAAAAGTTAATTTTTTCTAATTAGTAGATAACGGTTTCAAATTGCCAGCTGAATGTGAATCAAAACAACCTGAAATTCATTTATTTTTTTATTTGACTTTTTGTCATTAGTGAAAAATGACAATATTCAAACAACTAAATATTTATTAATATGTTCAATTCTGAAATTTGCATACAAATTATATACAGCACCTGATGACAGAATAAAGCATACTGAAAACGCGAAATACAAAATTTTATCAGATAAGAAAACGATTACCAAACAATGATTACTGTTAAATAAGACATGTATAAATGAAAAACAGCATTGTATATTGCAGCAATAAAACACACAGCATTAGCAGAGATAAGAAAGTAAGATTACGCCCTAAAAGTCAACAACATGATGCATGTGAAATTTCCGTTGAATCGAAACAAAGAAAATTGTCAGATTAAATATACCATTTGATTAAATCTGAGTTTAAATAAACCAGGCCAATTGGGAATGTTTCTATGATACATATCTATGCTGTGAAAATAATAACGTGTTGATCCTGTCAACACATCCAGAATATCTTTGTTTTTATAAAGAATAAATCATGGTGTAGTGCTACCTGATGATATTCTTCATACACACAGGTGTAGTGGAATGAATAATATGCTTTAAAGAAACCTTAATCTATGCATGCTTGAGGTTTAGCTCATGTATCTACGCTGTAGAGTAAACTGAATTCATTCCATAAATTTCCAGTGGAACCATGAACTTGTTACAACAACTGCTGTTTAATTTCTTTAATTTTTCAAGAATACTTAAACAAATCAATCCTCAATTTTCCCAATATTATGCATAAGTGTAAAATGACGCTTTTATGCTAAAAAGGATTTAAATCCAATCTTTTTAGTCTCCTAGTTCACAATAAGTTAAAAAAATGAACCCATAGTGTTCACTTTGCAAAAGCATGGGATCCGAGTTAACGTAATTAACCGGGTTTAATTTTATCAATTTTCGTGAAAAGTACAGCTGAATGGCATAGTTTTTCCACAGGCGACTCCTCATTTCCTACAAGAGTTGCAACTACATAATAGCTGAAATAATGAAAGATTTTAGTCAGATTTAATTTACGCGCATTAAGCTTCTATGCATTAATTCACAGAATGACAAAATATTTCACTTCCCTTAATTTATTTCTAATTACAAATAGTAAAATCGCAAAAGTAACTTCAAGGGTCTGTTTTTCATCAGTTTCAGCTCAGTTCGTGGTGAGGTCATTGGTACTTAATTCTGAAAATTCCCAGACTAGGAGGAAATAGTTGTCTAGTACTTTAACTGAAATCAGTACATCATCCAGCTTTAAAAATGACTTTAAAATAATAAAGTTGACTTTCAAGACGATTTCGTTATAAAAAATATTTAAAATGAAAAACTTTACAATTATGTAAAGTAGCGTTTATACCAAAATAGTTTATTCAGTGATTTATTTAAATTTATCAAATGGACGAACTGTTTCACTTATCCAAAATCGTAGTAGTAAAAACAAATGAAAAGGTTTTCGTACTTCACACAGCTACTACAAACAACTCAATGAGTGCAAAAGTCAAATTTTGACGCTGTTGTGGAGCATAATTCGTAATCTGATACAATACGTGACCTATCCAAATTGTAGAGATATGTTTTCCTTTCGCATTCTTAAGCAGTACTAGAACCAAGACGGTCAGTCAACGGATGCATTAACAGAGGTATTTTCATCTTTATTTGTTATAGGTATTCAGCATTAGTTCGTTTGATAATAGCATTTTGTGATGATCTGAAATGTCAAAGGATACACTGAAAGCGAATATCAAATATAAAGTGAGGTGATGACTCACCTGGCCAACAAAGATATCAAACCAATAACGGATAGAGACAGACCACTTGCTATAATTTGTCAGTAGAGACGATTGGCGGGAGACCACCATACTGCCCGAACCATCGTTAATTGAGACTATGAGCTAGTCTGTGTTTTATATTCTCCATGAACTTGGCAAACTAATATCTGTAAATTTTCTACGTATTGGGATTTAAATGTAAATCTTAACTCTGCATATAGAGGGAACTTAACTAAGTTATCAACTCTTGAAGAAGTCCAGAGCCACATCCGTTCTGAAATCAAGACATGAATGAAGGTAGTCGATGATCCCTGGTCGGAAATTCGTAAATGTCATTGGATTTTCTAAGTCTAATACTAAATGATCACACAAGGAGGCTCATTTGTCAGGCTGAGATCATGAAGGGAAGTAGAAACTTCTTAAAAGTAAGTTAACTCAAATTGTTCTCAACGACTGTAAACAGTGGTAGACGAAAAAAGTTAAATGAAATCCCGAAAGCACTGACGATAAATAATAGTTGTCAGCTAACCAACCTACGTCTTCACTGTAGCTACTCACCATCCAACCTCGATTTGACTGATGTGCATAAATCTATTCCGCAACTGTAGTTGAGATGTCAAATCCAGTCTGTTGCCAAAAAGAGGGATGACAGAAGAACCTGATAGCTTGTTAAAAGATGATGGTGCGGAAAATATGGCTTAACTAAATGAGGTACTACCAAAACCCTAGAGAGTGTTGTAAATCATTGAACATCCCAATCTATAACCAGGCGGACAGATCTTCTTTTCATGACTACAGGCAGTCAGCTTGATTAATAAAGCATCAAAAATTCTAAGTTCCGCTATTATTTGAGAACTAAATAGGTCAAAGAAGAAATAAATACAAGCAAACCAAACAGTACTCCATTAAGGATGAGCGAGAGTCAGAGGAAGAGTTACTTTTCTGGTGCATAAAAATGTTCACCATCGACTAGCTTTTACCGTATTTCTTGGTCTAAGGTCGATGAGTTAAATCCATCATTTTAGAAATGCTGTAGTGTTAGTGGTAGCGAAGAAACCACTACATGAACTCTGGTAGCCATCTAAGACTTTGTGAAAATTAGTACCCAAAAATGGCAATAAATTGATGGTATGCGTCAGAGATGGCTAACAGCACATCTCTTTATTTTTGTTGTAGATGTTATGATGGAGTTGACTGCCTATGTCTTCAATGTCCTAGAAACTGGCCTGTTGTATGAGAATGGAATAATTCTTTTGACTCTAGTTCAGATCTTCTTGACTCTTTGAGCAAAGGTTATGGTATTTGTAACGTTTGCCTGGTGTAAGTCAAACGAGAGACAATACTATACCATTGACACCCACCAGTTACCAGCGTTCACATCCACTGTCATCGGAAACTGTCTGTCCAAACGCCGGATGTGGTGGACACTGATGGTTAAGACTTCTCACCAAAGCTCAAGGAATTTCAATTTGCAGTCAGCAACAGATAAGCGGTGAGTGGTCAGCAGACTAACCTTATAAGCTCATTTTCCTTGGTCGAATATGGGACTGGGCCGTGGATATGTAGTGCTACGGAGTTTCATACTAGGACGACACACGTTTCCAGTGCTTCCTCGTTTTTAGTGGTTTTGCTGAGTGATATCACTTCGTAATAAAATCAATATATATATCATTTAGTGAACAAGTAAAACGTAACAGAATTAACAGCTGTGAGTAGAAATTGATGTAGGTAACTGGGTATTTACAGTCTGTAACGGAAGACAGTTTAAGCTGACCGCTGTTCCCCTTTCTGACCAAATGTTAATTTTTGTAGACGAAGGGGATGGGGTCCTACAAGCCCAAGTAGCTTCCTGACAGCCTTTTTATTGATAACTTTGAAAATTACGCACTTTGGAACTGACGAAATCTAGTTAATGCCTTGTAGTCAAATTTATTCATCTCGCATCTCACATTTTACTATGAGTTTGAGCGAATTCCTGGATATTTGGAAATTTGCTTACGTTTTTTATTTCTGAAACTGACTAAAGTAGAAACCTATAATGATTATCTTTCAACCACCAGTTTACGGGCATTATTCACTTCTAAATGGAATTGTTCGTAACCTGAATGGCTCAACTATGAATGTCTCAGGTTCTTACTGCATAGGAAGCATGAACGTCCTAAGGATTGTATAAACATTTGCTGTTCCGTGGTTAGAAGCATGATACTCCTGCAAGACAGTACTTTTTCCTTGTTGTTTCTTCTACTGTCTTATGTTAAACTATATTGTATCTCTGTGCATAAACACTGTATCGCTTACCTTTGGAAGAATACTGCACACCTAGTCGGTACACTTCCGGCACTTCATTCATGACTAGGCAGCTAAAATAATTATTGCCTTATAACTAATTATCCTAATCGTAACCTTTAAGAAATATTGCTACACATTTGTAAAGTCCCTCTATGACATTCATTTTCCTATTTATGTATGCTGACTATGCAGTTTGATGTGAATTAACATGTTGCGAGTTATGGGGCTAACTAATACTACTGAAATTCATTATTATGCTAAATAATTAGTCTTCCATTGGGAAAAAGAAAAGTCTTCAACCTCTGAGAGTGTACACATAATCAAATAAACCTTAATGAAAACCATAGAAGAAAAGAATAAGTGAAAAACACCAAATTAATTAATACTCACTGATTTTGAGGAACATGTATTTACACGAAGTCGAGTTATCTTAAACACAAACCTTTTAGAATAATTCTGTACCACCTTATATAAAAATATATATATCATAACACAGACGATGATATACTTGGATCAGTTATGTTCAATATGTGGATAACCTTACGTAGTTTTAAAGTTTATTATGAGTATCTGCAGTAAGTTATTCTGTTTAAAAAAGCACACCAGCACATGATCGCATCAAGGCAGGTGAAACCTGAAATCAGACAGTAATGCAGTACATAGAATTTTTGTAGAAAGGAAGAATGAGGGCATTTAAGAAACTGAGATGGGAAATCATGCCAAGAATGCATCCGAAATTAAAGCGAAGTGTAGAGAAATGCATAGAAAAGTCAACCTTTTAAACCAATCAACGGTTAGGTTAGAAATGTTTATGAACACATCATATATGTGTAGATTAACGTCGTAGGAATTATGCACGTGTAACAAACAGAATAGATTTTGCTTTTATGCCAAGAATAATAAAAATTAGGAAGAAGAATACAAAGCATATAGAAAAAGCTACTAAAACAGTCTATTTACAGTGAAATTCAGTCTTTTTAGAGACTAAACATTATGGAAACAAACAAAGTTTACCAGTGTGGTGCATATAATAACCATCAAACTCGTAGATATCTTGTTCACAGAATTAATCTGCTTTTCAGATTTCAGAGTTTTCGAGGTGTTAGATATTTTCAGGTTATTCAGCTGTGTTTCCATCGTAATTTTATTTCCACTCAACTGGTTATCTACAAAAAAAATAAGCAATTATGATAAAATTTCACCAGTGAACGAAAATTTGAGTAAAAGTATGTCTCATAGGAATTACTCTTACATATCTAAAATAATAAATCTCATCCTATTCCAAACTGACAATTAAATAAGGAGGAGTGATTCACAGTTCTTAGAAAAAAATCTTTCAGAAAACTCTATAATCAGGTTACTGCATAAACAGGCGTTAAGTTTACTGATCATTAACCATTTTCTTTATCAATGCATTTATCTTCGTCGGTGCACCTAAAATATTAGGCTTACCAATGTTACATATGTCCAAACCAAGTTCACTTTTAACAGTTTGAAAAATGTGGGCACTGGGTATGCGATATTCATTGTAATAAAGGATTTTGTATTTTTCAATGAATGAAAAACAAAACGATATTGTTTTCACTGGTGTTTCGCTATTTAATTCTAATAGCTTTATCAAAGTATTATTAAACCAGAATTTGCAAAATCTAAGCTTATATATAACAACTTAATCATCCTTCTTCAGCATGATGTCATTTTTCCTTTGTCAAATTGGCCTATTGGTAAAGATAACAAAATCAGGTGTGGATTGTCGGATTTGATCAGTGTGTAAAATTATAAAAGCAGCGTGTGCTTACATAATGAAATTGCTTATCACATTCGTGTTGACTTTGTCACTTCATGGGGAGGTATTGTAACCAGGTCAAATTCTGTTTCAGTCCATCATTCCTATTCAGACAATATGGATTCCAATACCGTTTTGTTTTACATTCGTTGGGAAATACAAAAAGCCTTTATTATAATGAATTACAAATATTACCTTATTCATCAGTGGAGAAAACTACTGATAATACGTCTACGGATATGTACACGATACTCAGGAGGAAACCTGCCCGATATTGTCCTTAAATCTTTATCAGGCAAGTATTTCAATACAGTCAGCACAAATATTTAAGCAGTGTAACATTTTCTAATGCATTTGAAGCATAGACTGACATTTAAAAAGACATTTTTATTACTTTGGAAATTTTGATTAAGCAGGACTGATAAATCACACACCTTTACTTAGTATATAATCGAAGTCATGCGTAACACCATAAATACTTTCATGATAACAGTAGCTATTAAGAAATTATTTTGCCAGTTGCTAACACTCCAAAATAACAATCATTGGTCAAAGGTGGGAAAATTTAGTATTAAATTTGTCAAATAAAGTTTTAATTGCAGCACAAATCGCAGATTATGGCTTTTACGAAATTAGTTCACAAGGTTGCATCAAAAGTAAAATATTAAGTGTGAAAAGTTATTCTTCATCCACTTGCCAGTTATACCAGTTTATCTCATAATTAAGTGAAACTACCTAAAATCAATGATACGAAAATTTGGATGATATTGAAGAAAGATTAAGAATAGCCTGTGAACATATATCACAACAACACTACGTTGTTAAATTAGTCTTAAGTAGCGGGTTAGTCCATATTCCACTAGCATACTCAGAAGTGATAAACCACATTTCTTGCTAAGTTCAATTCCCTGTGTTCAGCCAACTAAATGTTTCTGTGTCGAATCAAAGAATGACAACTACGACTTTATGATAGATTGTGTGCTGGGAAACGCTCAGGAAAAATTGGCAATATTTCCTAGGTGAATCTCAATGAAAGCAACCAAAATGCTAATTGTTCTCTGAAATTAAAAATCTCAGTTACTTAATCATTTGATATGAAATTTAAATACCTCGAGAATTTCTTTCTGAATCCAACGATACATCATGTGATGTAGAATATCCATTACCTTCACTGTTATCCTTTTCCTCAAGAGGGATATCAGTAAAATGTAACTGACAGTCTTCATCATCCACAGGACATCCTTGGCTCACAGCTCGATTAATCAAGTCATCTGAAGAAATATCATTATTTTCTTGTCTGCCATTAGAATCACTAAACACTTTTGAGGGATTTCCGTCGTCGTAATAAGTATTCATTTGAAACATATCAAGTTCAGTAAGCGAGAACTGAGGATGCATACCGCTTGATTCTGCGGTAAATTCATTTTCCAGTTTGGAGCTGGTTTGACTGATTACCAAGTTGGATGATGGAATTTCACTTCCTACATTCATCTTTAAAAAAATAAATTAAATGCAACGTCATATAACAATTTAGTCATTGAATTGTTGTTCAAATATATATATATATACATATATTTTTTATTTTATTATTTTTCTTATTTTGATTACAGCTTGATTCCACGCCGTATTTTCAGTACAAGTATGGAATTTTCAGCATGGATATCGGTAGCCCAAATTTACAGGCCAACCATAGATATCGGGTGTGCGCCGGCAGGGGATCGAACCCCGGACCATGTGCATGGTCGGCGAGAGACCTAACCACTGTGCCACCGACGCACAGCTTATTACGGCGTTAGAGATAGTAAAGTTATACTATGCTTCCCAATTTTTGTTACAGAATGCATCTACACTTTATCCTTTTTATGAAGAAAGTACATCAGCATTATTAAAAACACTGGTCTCGTTCTATTAGTTAAAATGCACAGATTTAGATTAACTGACTTTGCAAATGAAGCAGGTGGCTAGTCAGGTTTTAACTGGTCCCCAGTGATTTAAGCATTTGTTGTACTTAAGTGGCATTCAGCAGACATAAAGTAATATTTTTCCTTTATGAACTTACGCTCTGAAATGTTCAGTAACGCTGACAATAAACTCTTAGGTGACGGCATTACCTGAAAAACAGATTACAGGCTTACCACACATATAATAAATCCAGGTATTTTGTCCCTGGTTTAATGTAATTACTCAAACTAAATTGATTACGACTTCAATTAATCTATCAAGGTGTTTTAGGTGATAAGGAAACTTGCCTTGGGATAGCTGCCTTTAGCTTCTGTCCTTCTTCGCACATGCATTTCTTGAGGCAAACGAAATTGTAAGTCTTCGCTTGTTATTATTATTTCTGGGTTGCTCATTTGACTGTTTATTGAAAAATCTGAAACTTTCCTAGTGTACCTTGAAATGAATAAAAATGATATTTACTTGACACACTAGTTTCAAAAGATATCCATCCAAATGTTAATGATATCACAATTTTCAAAATCACTCTTAAAATTGTTCTTGCTTCTGAATACTTCCATAGCCATCACTGAAATATTTACTACCAGTAAGCGCCACGTGACAGCTACTATTGTACCGTTATTATTATTCCCTTTGGTTCCGTGTGGAACATATGGCTGCAACAACACATCTCCACCTTGTTCTATTTTCTGCTATTCTTTTCAGTTGGGCCTACCACTGCCCACAATCTCTCATCTCCTCTTTGTACATACTCCTCCATGTCACCCTCGTATCCATCCTAACTCGTTGTTTCTCATCAGGATTCCATTCGAGGGTCTGGAGCGCGATGTCACTAGACGGCCTTCTCAACGTATGTCCGATCCATTTCCATTTTCTCCTACATATTTGTTGGGTGATCGGCTCTTGGTTGGGTTGTTCATCACCAGAGTTTCTTGTTGTCAGTTCTTTCTGGCCTGCCAGCCTGCTATTTGATCTTCATTGTGGAGCGAAGGCAGCTGTTGATGAAAGTCTACAACCTGTTGGAAATCCTTTAAGTTGCACACTGGTCACGTTTCTGACCCGCATAGAGGAAATGACTGACTTCACATTTGTGCTGAAAATCCGAATTTTTTTCGCTTATACTAGCTAAGTGCAGAAAGCAGTTTGTTTACTCTCTGTGATCTACCAGATCTAATATATTCTCAGTACTGTCCATGTAACTGTTCCTTTCCATGTAAATTTTCTTTTGTTATTTTTTCTTTAGACTTTTTTTCTTCTACTCTATGAGGTGTGGCTACTTCAAATGTTGCACTTTTATGCAAAGTTCTAAGTTAAAACGTTAGTTTGGTTCAGTTTAGCAAACTCTTTTGTACGCCTGAACTTAAGTTTTGGTCTAAATTGTGCACAGATAACTGTGGCTTAAGCTGTTAGGTGAAATAAATTCTGCAGTGATGGTAATGTGTATAGTTCTGGACTCGCCATAGAGAGACGCTACGATATCCTATAATAGTTCAGTCACAGATTTACGAATATCCAGTAACACATAAATATGCAGACATTGTTGAAAAAATTTAGTTCAGCGGTAAAAGAAATCCAAAAACACTTGTTAAAATGAAAATCTAGTCATCGTTATATCATTAACAAAATAATTAACAATACCGAGAGTGAAGATGAACAGTAACTTTAGAAAATGTTGTTTTTATCAGTCGTTAGTAAATGAAAACACTCATATGTTTAAATAAGCAGTGTTTACTAATATAAATAGTCTGTGCAATGTCTAGCCTACCCAGGAAAAAACATTTATGGTTATTATTGTAGAAATAATGACACTTTAGAAAGAGGAAGTTTTATATTCCTAGTCCCTTCTAAATCTCCTGAAACAAAATATAGAAATGACTGATGTGAAGTAAACAGGTTACTCACCGATCAAATGATGATCCATTCCAGCACATATATTCATTTCCTTCGGAGCAATAGAATAGTTCAATCCTATTTATGTATTTTTTCAAATTATCCACTTTGTTAATCAAGGAGTTCAACTCCTTTTCAGTTGTTTTTATAAAATCTATCATTTTATTGTATTCTACACTGAAATTCATATCATATACAGTCTTCATCTCATTTAGTAAAACGTTGTTTTGATAAGATGCACTTGAGGAGACTGCAGTACTTTGTAATTTGCTTCCTCGACAGAATTGTTGAAGCTATAAAATGTAAATTTATGAAGCTATTCAGAGATTTTTCAAATATCCGGTAAAAATCATCTTAATCTTAATTTATAGATCAGTTAGTTCATTATTTGATTTCATGAAAACAAACTTAACCTGACTGAATTACTAGTGATGTTATGGGTGATTTTATAACTCAGAACCATTCTGGATACTTTTCGTAAAACCTATTAAAATATACGTTAAAATAAAAGTCAAAGCTATTCTATTCGAGGACCAAATACATTTTGATTTGTTTGAATTGCTTCAGGACAGTGTACGGCTGCTAGTCTGACGGTAGATCACGAAATTAGATTTTGCTGGTACTTAGGTGGTAGAACAAAACATTGAATTTGACATATCAGTTAATACAGCAGCCAAATTTCCATCCATTAATCAGTCTGGGATAAAAAGAACTGCTGCTAATAAAGAGCATTTACATCCCTTGTATTACATTTCATCCACTTTTTATTACTTCTGAAGTTCTGTCTTTGATCGACTCTAGAAAGAATAGTTGGTTAAAATAATGCTCAGGACAAATTAACAGTAATGTCACGCTTTTACTTTAGTAAACATACATCTATCAGTTCAAATTTAAGTGATATACTCACACAGTCGGAAGCCCTGTACCTTTTTACTGGACAGTATGATAAAGCTCTGAATCTGAGAAACCTTAGGGCTTGCTTAATAAGTCTAAGTAGTTCGCACAAAGCAAATACTTCAATTTATATATAGTTTTAGCGACCTACGGAAATCATTAGTGTCTTTTAAGGCTCTCTCGAACACCATAATGTAAGTTTCTTGAAAATCACCTCTCAAGTCCATTGTTTCTATGATTGTTCAGTTTAAAAGTGTATTTTACAATCAACAAGCTGGTTAAAGTGGTATTACTATTATTCATAGTGAGTTACGAAGCTGACGCCAGTTAGAATAGCGTAAAATTTGGCATGTGTGTGGAATGTATGTGGCTAAAGTCAAGTGAAAGAGACACTTTTTTACAAAGATTAGCAATCGCTCATGAAAGATGACAGTGTGGCTCTTATGGCTCCAGTATAGATACTGCTTCATTCTCAAATGCAATATGGGTTTCTCTGTCAGTCTTCGTAAGTTTACTTTGGGATTTTCTTTTCTTTGCACTGCATCCTGTATTTATGTAGCGCATGATTATTCGCAGGCCTAAAAGGAATAATTCAGAACACGTCTCTCATTTAACTGCGTACATTTGTTCGCGTTCATTTTAATGGGTTTCACTCAGATATGAGGTGATTACGAAGTATTCTTTGTGAAGTTCTTTTACAAATATTTCAAATAACACCAGAAATTTGGATGTTTCAAAGCGTGTTACACTCATTTATTTGTAAGACTTACCTTAATTTTGAGTGTTGGGACGTTTTTTTCGACATTTTTGAGTCCTTCTCTTAGAAGTGTGTACAAATTGGTAGCATTTAATGACGCTACCAGATCATTAAAGTGCACTTGACTCTTATAATTCCATAATAACTTCATATCAAGATAAGCAATTTGTTTTGGGGCAAACAAGACAGGTGGAGTTAAACAACCACGAATTATATTTGTGCAGTAACTCGAACATGGAGTTGAACATTCTTGCTTGACGACAGTTCCAAAACAGCGATCTGTATCCGGGCAGCCCAAGCTAAGCTTTCGTATACCAGCTTGACATGAACCACTAGGACCTGAATCCAGGACATTCAACGTCAGCTAAAATTTAATGACATGTTTATGATAGAAATAATAAAACCATGAAGATTTGCTAAATATTCAGTCAAAGAATTTTTATAATCTACAGTGCCTTCCAGTGTCTTAGAACTTGAGGAAACGGCCTCTTATCACATAATTATTGCCAGTGTACTCCCAAATGGAATATGGCTGGCGGATGAACCCAGCTTTTTCTTAGTCAGATACACACTTTAAACTGACAGTCCTATCGTAAGTAGGTTAATATTCCTATACATATACACCAGTGTTTTACTGTTGACGTTATATTTGACTGATAAACTTGAGGTGATGCGTGATATTGTTGACGGAATCAAATTTCCATACACTCAAATGTCTAACATCTGTTCAATATATTGATCGATCAAGAACACCGAAAAATAACTGCGTATTAAGAAGTATGCTCTACTGTTATTAAAAAGACATTCTGAGTCTTCAAGAAAAGATGTGCTTACTATCACACCGATTACAAGGGAGGGCCAGTTGCCAAAAGTCTTAAGCTTGACCACTCTACCAAAATGATGAAAGCAATTGCATAATTTAAACGTCATCCACTTTTCAATAATGACACTGGTTGTTCATATAAAACCTGCTTTTATCACGTAACAAGTTAAGTGATGCAAATGAAGAACGCAATAGTCCGAAATTACACCGTAATAATTTGCAAGTGTCGACAACACCACGCACGAACTTCAGACTACAATTTCGAAGACATATTTTAAGACAATTATTTATATTAGAAAAGCAACACTACTCCCTGTTGCTGAAATGAAAGCTATTAATGAAAGATTTTTGTGCACGAAGAATGTATGGTAAAATTATTCGGACTACTTATGAGATAACCACTCACTTGTAACATCCTGTGAATTCTCTGATAATGCTTGACACCTTGACTAAATGATTTAAACCATTCATAGGACTGATCTCCGAATATGTTAACAGAGTGCGCAAAAAGCCTGTTGCTTTGAAAACATGTCCTTAGACTGTCAGGTGAGAGGCCGAGATTTCTGCTATTTGCTTCTGTAGTCAAGATAGAGATCATGAGGCGTTGTAGATACTGATCAACCATTTCGAAAGATATTTTGCCAGGCAGCATTCTGTACAGTTTCTCAAGATCATTATAAAACAACATTGCGTATATGTAGATATCCGTGTCACCAATGCCATCTTGTTTCATGCATTCTGACAATAAATGCTTGTTCAATCTTATAAAATTCACAGGAATTTCTGATAAAAAGTGTAATTATGAACGAACAATTACCATTTACACTGTATAATAGTTGCTTAAGGAGCTTATACTCTACTATTTCATCAAAAACATTTTTGAATTTGTTATTAGAACTTGTATTCTTTGATATAGTTCGACAGAAATAAGAGTTGTTCAATTCACTGGAATTAAATCGTCCATTGAAATTAACAGTTGCTCCAAGCATATAAATAATTTCGATAATAATAACTATGAAGTATGGTAGCACATGCATTTAAGGGGAGTCATGAGATGAAACTCAATAGCACGCGCAGTAACACATACTCATTTTAAGTTGCCCGAAAATATGAAAATTTAAAACAAACCGAAGAAAATATAACCCGATATCATGCAGTCTTAAACCCTTTACTTTGTAGTATTTGTAATCAGCTTTGCACTAATATATATTAATTCTTCGAAATTCTTGAAGCCATGCCATTTCGTAACCACTTTTACTTGTCATTTTAATTGCCATACCCTTTTCAAATTTCGATGACAAAATTGACCTCACACTTAACAGCAGAAACAGTTTTTATATTAAATAGGTGGATAATTAATTTCATTGACTGTTCAGTTCAGTTTATTCAGATTCTATGTGGAACTATGCACAAAAAGGAATAATTACACGAATATAATTTTGAGGTAGTTTGAAGAATAAAGAGATTAGTGGAAAGTTGTTGAGAAGCAACACTCTATTCTTCAAATACTGACATCATTGTAATTTCAAGGAATATCTGATACACATTAGGATGATATAATCTGAATTAATAATAGTTTTAACATGGAAGCAGTTTATTAGTATTTATCATGACACAAGTCAAATCACATGACTCAACAGTAGATGGTTTTTCCGGTCTAATCTGATATTCTCTTTTGACATTGGAAGGTTAATATCACTGATAATGAATAGCCAAGCGGATATTTATTGCAGATTTTTTAATTAATTTGCACGTTCTGAAACAAAGTGGGTATCGTGCTCGTTACTTCTCAAATGTTGTCGATCATAAAACAATGTAGATATTCTTCACATTCAATGTAACTTTGTCGCCGGGCAATGTTACCAAACAATTTCGTGTTTTGTCCATCTTTAATGAATTAGAGTAGAGAGGATAGGCATTCTTTTTCTTGACATCGCAGTCATTTTCCGTCAAAGGAACGAAAGTACCAGTAACCTTCAAACGTCCGGTTGCCTCAGCTAGTTATTTGGGTAAAAGAAGACATACAAAGTTAAGCGCCCAAAAGAAAGAAAGAAAAGAATGAAGGAAGGTAATACCATAGATCGTTCTTAATAATTATTTGAGAATGGGATCATATGGCGTGCTTCCCCGTATTCTCAAAGAGGGTCTAGGGAACACAAGAGCTTCATTTTTAAGAATAATGATGAAACCTACAGCATGACTAATACACTATCTGTTGTCGGTTAAGGGGAGCCAGCTACAGATGACCACCACAGTGAGCAGCCTGTAAAGTCCACAGTAAATGACTTGTACCTATTATAATACTCAAAGTGTATTCAAATCGTTATGATGCTAAAAACATATGCCATTTAAAGAGGAACTGATACTGGGACCATACTACACAAAGAAGCATGAATAGTCTTCAGAGAAGTGATATCCATTTCATGATGTCAACCTACAACCGCCGTGACTCTGAGCACGAACTGAAAATCTCTGAAGTATATGGTAGCGCTGTTCAATCTAGTCATCTTTTAGTACACACTGCTTATATATTCCAAGGAAAATATGAAGAACACTACTGACTGTCTTCCTACTTCCAACTTTCCACAAGTTGGCACCCACAGATCTTTAAGGCACATCATCTGATTTAACTTCAACAAAAGGACCAACACTAAACTGATAGCGATAGCAGTTTGCTTAGTGCTCATACTACGTCACAGGACTCTGTGACCACCCAGTGGTAGTTAGTGATAGAAGAGTTCAGAAGTGCTAGATGAGTATTCAAGTAGGAGGTACAGCAGCTTGACGCTTCGTAGGGGTCCACTTGTCTGTTGAAGGATTCCGAATAACGAATGCCCTTCCAAGTGTCTGGCTAGTTGTCCTTGTTACATTCGCCTACCACAGGATTCAGAAATAAGCTTTCAAAGTACATACATTCCTAATGTGGCAGTACGAGTAATAGATAGGTCAATTATTTCGGTAGAAGGGTTGGCTATAAGAGACTCACAGCTAGAAGTTCTTTCCTCCATGTCAGTTGGGATAGTCATGTTTTGTAGATATACAACTGGAAACCAAGACCATCCCAACTGTCAACAGCATATGGTTCTTGAAAGATACGATCGCGTAATAAGACGCTTTAGGACGGCTTCACAAAGTCAAACGCTCCTCTGACGTAGCAAAACTTTGAATAATGAAACTTTTCCCACAAGATTAATAATATCCCACAATGAGAAACACATAGGAGAGGGAAACTAGCTTGTTCAAGCTCAGTAGAATAAGTACGACCGACCTCGGACATACAATATTACTGTGTGTCTATTGGTCAATATAGTGCTTTCATTCGTGGTGCTATGCATATAGTATTACTAATCAAAAAGTACTAAAATTCAAAATGAGAAAGGTTCTATACAAATTCTACAATTCCGCTATCATCCACTTGCTCTTTTCGCAGATTTTCCGCTTGTTCGTGGAAATAAGTAGTGTGAGTACACCTCAGGTTAATCGAGATTCCCAATTCAAAGCAGCCTCACAGGATCACACCTATCCATTGAGTTACATGATGCAATGCTGCTTCTAATAAATGTTCCAAAAAACGCATCATCCCACTCGAAATTTCTTTAAAGGAAGTGTTTCAGAAGGAGACAAACAGCTCCTTACTCTACTTCAAATCGGCGGTAAATAATACCAGCTGCGAAAACTGCAGGACTGTAGTCTTCAAATGAGACAGTCTCTGGTTACAGACTTCTAAAGAGGTGAGCGCACCCCATTTTCGATGAAACTGACTCATCTGGAGATGGTTGAATCATTCAGTTTAGTCTTCGCCAAACAGCTAAACAGCAATGTGGGTATATCCGTTACGGACCAAAATGGTGGCATCACTATTTCACAGGAGGAAGACCAAATAGCCACCCCCCAAATAAACCCTGCAATAGTACTAAGAAAGCTGCAGCGACTCATACCTGGGAAGTCCCCAGGTTGTGACGACATCAGGCCATCTGTTCTGTAACAGTGCGCCGAAGCTCTCTGTAGGCCCTTATGCGGCTTGCTCCAACACTCCATGGAATCGGGGAAACTGCCAAAGGAATGGAAAGGTAGCATCCTTTCTCCGATCTTGAAGGGTGGGGATAGGCAAAATCCCACTAATTGTAGACCAGTAGCTCTACTCCCAGTGGTATTAAAAGTACTGGAAATTATTATTGACGATCACATCAGGGAATATATCGATAGGTCTAATATACTCCATGAAGCCCAACACGGTTTCAGGAAAGGCGGATCCTGTGTAACAAACCTACTGTCAGCTTGGGACGATTGAATATCATACTGGGATATGAATGTTCCAGTCCATGTGATCTTCCTAGACTTTGAGAAGGCATTCGACACTGTTCACCATGACCTTCTCCTACACAAAATAAGCCAGGCAGGTGTAGGTAAGCCATTTCTATCACGGTTAAAGGACTACCTAACTGGAAGGCAATTTTGCACCAAGGTCAATCGAGTCCGACCACCTGGGCACAGCTCGCCATCAGGAGTGTCGCAGGGTTCTATCCTGGGACCACTGATGTTCTTGATTTTTGTCAATGATCTACCACGCCGTCTAAGCTGCCCGACTCTTCTATACACTGATGACGTGAAGATATGGAGGATGATAAAGTGTCCGGAGGACTTAGATAGTCTACAGGAAGATCTAAACCTTCTGGAAGACTGGGCGGTGGCCAGTGGCATGACTTTCAACCTGAAAAAGTGCAAGGTAGTGAAGTTACGCACCTGTAGACTGCAGAATGCAAGTTACACCCTGTGCAATGAAAGCTTGTCCTGCTCAACGGCGGAATGTGACTTAGGTCTAGTTCTAACGGAGAAAATGGATACAAGCGTTAATTACACGGGGGATGTAGCGAGGGCATATTCGGTCATTCACTTTACACATAGACAATTAGGTGCACTCTCTCCTGAGGTCTTTCTAAGGTTGTACAAAGCATACGTCAGACCCCACCTTGAAGTGCATAATATCATTGCATCCCCACTGCTCAGAAGAGACGCCAACCTCTTGGAAAGAGTCCAACGACGGGCAACAAAAGGAGTGGTTGGTCTCCGAAATAAACCGTATGATGAAAGGCTAAAGAAATTAGGCCTATTCACACCTAGTTACCGTCGTCTTAAGGGGGGTTTAATTACTGCCTATAAAATAACAAATGATCAGAATCACTCAAACAAAGGTGTTCTGCCATTGAGTAGGTAAAGGCTCCCTCGTGGAAATCCTAGGAGGATAGCTCATCAGAGGGCAAGGACCCGGGTGCGCTCTCACTTCTTTTCACTGTGGGTTTGCCGTCCCTGGAATTCCTTACCGGCAGATGTAGCTATGGCACCATCTGTGGACGCCTTTAAGCGAAGACTGGACAAACATGCAGCGACACAAAGACTGCATCGAAATGGCCTATCCCCTTAAAATCGCATAGACCATTCAAAGGTAGACAATTAAACTGATCGTTTTACTTATTTACATTCTCTTCCGTCTTACTCTCCTGACAGCTTTAACTACACCTATTATTATTATCATTGTCACTGGTATATATATATATATACCGGTTGACTGACTGTTGTTACGTTTTCTTATTCTTTTTCTGTCTGTTAGTCTGAATTCCTTCACTAATTATATCTATTATTATTATCTCTTTTCTATTGACGACGATACCGAAGGACCAACTGGTGAAAGGATCAACTCCATTCACAGTAGTAACAGTCTTAACACACCTCATACTACAAACCGCATATAATTAATCCCTGCACTACTCCTTTTGAAGTCAACCAAAGCTACGACAGTCGAGTGGCGGGACGGGCTACGCAGACGTTCACCGAAGATCAGGAACCTCTACCTCGCAATCAAGAGGTGAGCACAAAGAAATCAAATTCGTTTATACTAGCTCGTAAAAACGATATTGGATATTGGAATATACGATGCGGAACACACCAAAGTTATATGGAGGGATTGACTTCAAGCCTTTTATGTTTTCCAAGTATTTGTAATACCTCGACGCGCTTTTTGATTAATATGCTACATTTACTTAGTTACATAAAACTCTTGTTTCTGTGGAATTTCTTGCCAAGAAGCTGTGGAACATAT